CACTTCCGGTCTCTGGACAGGCCAAGTTATTGATACTACCTCACTATCTAAAAACTAAACACAATCTCAATTTTTGGCAATAGAGTCAACTTTGGTGAGAGTAAAGCATTTTCTGAAACAGTAGAGGACAAGCAATTTCCTGATAGCAGAACCCCTGCCTGGGGTCCCTGGGGGCTGAGCTCAGGGCCACCCGGCACGGCGAGGCATCCTGGAGAGCCACAGACATGGAGAGATAATAAGGGCCGATGGGGACTTCCCAAAGTGTCATGAAAAGCGTGCTTTGATGGCGATACTGAAAACAAGAACATTAGTATACTAACTTACCCACTGAAACTTCCTGTTAGCCAACTGACCCAACACTATTAAATAACCTGTGCTTTCCCCAGTGATTTAAACTATCACCCTACCATAAATCTGATCTACACTTTGGCCTGTCTCTGACCGCCCCTTGCTGACAGTCTTCTCTCCCTTGCCCTTCCTGACGTTGCCTTCTCCTGGATCCCACGTTCTCTGACGATGCTTTCGGGTCCCCCCTGACCGTCCCTTAAAGGTTGTGGGGCAGGGCTCCCCTGGAGGCTTGCCCTGCAAGACCACCTGCATTTGCATGACTTTGCTTCTCTGACGATGACATGCAAATATGGCTGTGCAGGTTGGCCACCTCACAACAGTGTCAGGCCGAGTGGGCAGATAGTGGGGAAATCCACTCTGCGCTCTGCTTGCCAAGCTGTGCACCCACAGAACGCCCCAGGTTCCCACCTCTAGCCCAGATGTCCCGTGAGTCACAGCCCCACCCCTCCAAACGTACACTAGCCAACTCTCCCGGGATGTCCCCCAGGAACCATACACTCCACATGGACTCATCTTCATTCTTCCAAGCCCGTTCCTCCCTGTGTCCCCTGTTCTCACTGTGTGGCTGCGGCACACAAGGCAGAAAAGGCAGAGGCATTGGAACGTTCTTCTTTCGCCAACTTCAAACATCCTGCCTGACAGAGCCGACCTCCTGCTCTCCAGCCACAGCTGCGGACGGGGAGTTGACCTCGTTACTTCTCTTCTCATTTAGTCTGCCAGGCTCTGGGCTCGCTGTCTTTAAACCCTCCACTCTGTGGCACAAGCAACGTCGCCACACTATTCTGAGCATGTCGTCCATGCCCTGGATGCCACCATGGCTTTCCACTGCCCACAGGGCAAAGTCCTAACTCCTCAGGGCGCTGATCAGGGGGTCTTTCATGGGTCAGACCCCTAACCCCCTCTCTCACTTCCTGGTTCCTTACCCAATACATCAGCCTTGCCTTGCTGCCTTGCCTTTGCTTACGCAGCGACCTCAGCAGGGACCCCCTGACTTGTTTGGTACCCAGATAAAGTTGATGATGCCCTCCCTTGGGGCCCAGGTTTCCATGCAAACACCCACAATGCTCATTGGTTTCTCTGACTCCATTAGAACCTCAGTCTTTGAAGGCAGAGATGGCCTTTCTGGGGATTCTGTGTCCCCACAGCCCAGCCAAGCACTGTGACAACCCTTGTCCATAAAATCCTAAGGGGATTTGAACATAAGCAGATTAGCCAGAGCAGAGTAATACGAATGTAAATTGCACTTTAAGTCATTTATATCTGTAGGTGCCACAAAAACGAGGACAGAATGACTATTGTGCCCAAGCACCCTCTGCGGAAGAACTGCTTAGGGATTAAGGGAGATGAAAGATTTTGGGGGAAAGGTGGACAGACAAAAAGAAGAGAGGAATGGCCCATGGTGGCTTATAGCAGGGCACTGGTGGCCTCTGCTTCCTGGGCAGGGGTACGTAGCTCTAGCCTGACTCACTGGCAGGAGAGACCAAAGAGCTGGGGCAGAAAGGTGGATGCAGCGGACTCAGGTGTGAGGAGACACAAGTCAAATGTCAGGAGGTCAGATAAAGGCAGGTGTGAGAAGAGCAAGTGGCTATTCTAGTAGGCACTTTCCTGCAGAAAGGCAGTCAGGTTGAAGACCTTAATAATCAGCCCAGAAGCCTAACAAAAGCAGTCTAAGTAAGGCTTCCAGAGAAGAACCAGCTGGGGCTTCCCAGTCTCTTAAATTAAGGAGCACAGTCCTTAACAAGATGTTAGAGGTCTACACAGCCCCTCCAAACATGACTAACTCTTTGCTAACAGGAAGGCAATTCCCATGGGCAATGCCTTCCTCATCCTGCCCATCTGAGCTGAAGGGTACCTCCTCCTCCAGGAAGCCTCCCCTGACCTCCCAAGGTCTCAACTGAACTTGTTCTCAAAACACCCTGGGCTTCTCCTTCACAGCCCTGCTCAGAATTGTAATCAAATACATATTCATTTAAATTCTATTTCCAGTATAAGAAGAAGCCCTTTGAGGACAGGGACTGATTCTTCTTTATTATTATTTCCCCAGCATCCAACACTCTGCCTGGAACATGTTTGAGGCCCACTAAGTGTCTGCTGAATGAAAGACTCAATCAACCGAACAGATAAAGAATGAATTAAACGAATGAATAAAAGTGGCATGGGTCTGGAATGCAAGGCCAAGGAGTCAGGGTCACCAAGAGCACATGAGAGAAGGAAGGGATGGGGATGTAGGGCCAGTCCTAATGCAGATGACAGAGACCAGAGCGAAGGCCGCCCGCCCACATGGGCTGTGGGCCAACTCCGCCCCCCCTCCCCCGCCCAGCTACTTACGCAGCCCGGGACCTCCTAAACTAACATCATCTTTCACATTTTTAAATGGCTGAAGAAGACTATTTCATGACATGCAAAAGTCATTTGAAATTCACATGTCAGTGTCCATAAATAAAGCTTTATTGGAACACTGCTGCACCCACTGGTTTATGTCTTGTCTGTGGCTGCTTTCACGTGACAGTAGCAGAGCTGAGTAGCTGCGACACAGAGGCATGAGCCTCAAGGCCTCCCAGGTTTACCACCTGCCCCTTCACCAAAACAGTTCGCTAAACCCCTGCCTCGAGTCCCTTGAGATTGCTGCATCCCAGGGCCCGCAAAAGCCCTGACCCAGAGGTACACGCTAAAACCTGGGCCTCAGGAAAAAGCTGCCACATGCTGTCTGTTAACGCAAATGGGACTTAAATATCCCCTTCATAAAGAGGGGCTAGTTTAACTAATGGCATCGTACACTGGCAATGGACTACTACACAGCTATCTTTAAAAATGAGTTACGTTCATTTTTTGTACAAGTATACAGAGATGTCCACAGTACATTGTCAAAGCAATTTATAAAACAACATGGAGAGTATTTTCTAGTTTATTAGAAAGAATAACTGTACATATGTTTAGAAGATGAGAAAATATGAATATCTGCAAGAATGTGTCTGATAAATAGTTCTAGGATATTGGACAAGGGATTTTTAATGTTAAATACTTTTGTACTCACTGAATTTTTTACTGAGAATATGCTATTCTTTAATTTAAAACACACACACACACACACACACACGCTAATTTTAGAAAGCCACTGTTACCCCAAGCACGGATCTAGATTCTTGATGATCTCAGGATCATGTGAGCCAGTTTCTGCATTTTGGGGAAGTGCACATAAACACACTTTGTTCTGAAACTTCAAAGTCTGATAAGAGTGCAAAGCTGGTCATATATTTGTTTTGAGGAAGCTCAAGATTAGGATGGTCAGAAATAGTTCTACTTCCCTTTTCCTAGAAACCTTGGTTACTATGAACACCCCTCTGAAGCTCGCAGAAGGCCAGGTTGCCAGGGGATACGAACAAACTCACCACCTGAGTGGCAGCTGCCAGCTGCTGTCTCTGTGGCCCCTCTACACAGCAGCTGGCTCTGTCCCCAGGACCCCCCCAGCCCAGGGCAGGTTCACAATCATCAGTCCTGTTACTGGTCCCTTGGGGCGAGGCTAGGTGGCCATAAGAGAGGGAGGCGAGAGGTCAAGACCGAGCCAACAGGTGGATTTCAGGTTTTGCCTTGGCACACACATCTCTGATTCCTACCACATCTAACGTTCTGTGTTTCTAACCTTTGTTCTTTCATGGCAGTTTCCTCGGGGGTCATGGAGGTCAAGAGTCAAGCTGTTCGCCGGTTCTGCTCTGCCCTGCCAAGACCACAGGCCTGGCGCACTCCTGCTCACCCTGCGGTGGTGACCTGCCACCCCTGCTCTGCGCCCCTGTCAACACCAGGGTCCTGGGGTCACCACGGTGAAGCCCAGGAAGTCCATAGTAACTGCAGGTGCGGAGGTGCAGTCCCAACTCAGCTCAGAAGTGCACATGGAACCTGTGTCTTCTGTTAAAACACCTAATCCATAAGGAGCCCTGGCATTTCCCAAAGACCATTCCAAGCACCACCAGCCAGTGAAATAATCCAGGCAGGAGAAAGATGCTGTGAAGCTGGGAAGACTTCACACTTGCAATGCCTGTTTGGGAACTTTTGTACCATTGAAATATTTTATTTATTTTTTAAAGAGAGGGGAAGGGAGGGAGAAGGAGAGGGAGAGGAGCATCGATGTGTGAGAGAAACATCAACCAGTTGCCTGTTGTACGTGCCCTGACTGGGGACCAAAGCTGCAACCCAGGCATGTGTCCCAACAGGGAATCAAACCAGCGATGCCTTGTGGGACAACGCCCTAGCAGCGGAGCCATGCCAGTCAGGGCTTCTCTATCATTAGGAACATGTAAAATCCCAAGAGAGCATGCAGTAGCTAAACCTGTTCAACTTGATTTAGACGAGCTGTTGACCATAGCACCTTTCATGATCCCAGTGTGGAAAACACAGTTCCACACCACGAAGCTGGGTTCAACAGCCGTGCCTGAGTGGCTGTACAGGTCCGAGGGTGATCCCAACCGCGAGGGGCAGGCTTCCCAATCGAGGCTCAGACCCCTACCTCCCAGCGCCACGGGGGAGCGGCCTCTGGGGTAGGTTGCTGGAGAAAGAGTCTTTAAAAACTAAGAGATTGAGGATGGAGAACACCTGCCCCTCCAGAGAGACAGAAGCCTGGGGGCTGGTGCAGGATGCTTCCCAGAGCGGGGACTCACCATTGGTGGTCGTGTTGACATAGTAACGCCGGCCCTGAGGCGACAAGTAGCTTTGCCAGCCCGGCGGGAGGACGACGGTCTGGCTTTCCTCTCCGGGCGGAGGGGGGACCATTCCAGGCTTCTGTGGAGGAGGAAAGAAAAGGTCACACACGTTTGGCATTTTTGCAACTGTTTTCAAGCAGGAAGTCAGAGGCAGATGAAGTCCCCCTGGAATAGCTTGACGTTTGGGGGGGGTGTGGCCTGTGACCCTAAGGGAGGTCACAGGCCACACTTGGGTGATTTTGGCGGTTTTGAGGATGTGAGGTGTGAAGAACGCTTGCTTCCTCGGAGCCACCGCAGATGGGACAGGATCCCCTAGAGGACAGGTTCCCCTAGAGTGCCCGTCAGTTAACAGAGAGGGACTTTGTCCTCTGTGAGCCCCTAGGAAACCTCTCCCAGGGCCGCTGCCCTTCCTGCCGGGGGCGGTGCTGATGTCCACAGCCTAAGATAATGGATTGAAAGGGAGCTGCAGAGACACGGCTCCCAGACGGCTCAGCTTTCTGCAGACGGCAAAGCCATGTGCTCCTGGGTCCGGTGGAGCCCTGCGGGCCCTCGGCGGGATCGGATCAGTCCTAGCCGCTCCAGGCACTTCGAGGAGATACGGCCTCCCCAGGGCCTCTGTGTATGTTCCATTATTATTATGGAGTTTCATAATTTAATGAAAACCTTCCCCGATGGCCTGAACGCTTCTGACTCCCACACCTGTTAACCTGCAGCGTCTGTTGGGTTCGGCAGGAAAGACTGGCTCCTACATTGCCCAGTGCCAGGGAGGGGAACAGCAGCCAGGCAGGGCGGTCTTCTCGCCAGCGTCCACAGAGCACAGCACACACCTCAGCGTGCTCACCTGGGCCTCTCCCAGACTGCAAGGTGGTCAAACTACACGCAAGACAAATAGCCTGACGATGAGTGCAGTGTGTGAGTGTGTGTGTGTGTGTGTGAGTGTGTGTAAACCAGCCCACAAACAGGAGGTATGCATTTTGGCTGAGGAGGTTTGGGAGCGATGTAGAAATAAAGAGATCAGAGGGCTTGACCAATGAAAGAAATACTCTAGAACCAGGTTTCTTCTGCTTGAGTTATATAGCATGTGAGGTGGGAAGACCAGACTGGGGCTTGTCCCAATAAGCTGGGAGGAAGTAGGCAACTGTTAAAGGGTACTAAGCAAGGGTCAGAGATTGACAGGGCCCGGGGGGGCTGCGGAGGACACAGGGACCCAGAAGCACAGTGAGCACAGCCCTCCGGCCTGGGGCTCGATCCTGCCTTAGGCACCTAGAAGCCCGTGACCCAGGGAAATGACGCGCCCGGCTACGTCTACTTCCACATCTGTAAAACGAGGGTGGCATTAGCCCAGCGGTGGAAGACTCTGTGACTAACACTAAGAGACTTGGCCCCAGGAAAGTGCCTGCCACCAAGAACGCTCAGTCCATGGGGTCTCCAGTGGAAGCGGGGCTGCCCGGATGCAGAATGAGACCAGGCTTCCGGCAGCCTCTGCCTGTTGCGGGGTGAAGGTCACGCCAACCCGCCATCACTGCATCTAAAATGTGGTCATTCAGGGTCACTTCTCCCAGGTTTCTGTTTCCAAGACGACCTGACTGAAAAGGTGAACGCAGGCTGGCCGGCGCGGTTAGCATGTTAAGATGCTGACTACTGCGTTCTGGCGAAAAGGCTGGCGGCGAGGAGAACTCTCCTGAGTTGCGCTGGCTGAGAGCGTGGACCGAACCTTCCTACCCTCTCGCCCCGCCCGTGAAGAACAATGGCACCTATCCCCTCTCCACCACTGCAGGGTGCTTTTCTCTTTAGAACGGCTCTAGTTAATTTATCAAAGCAGCCCTGTGGGGCCAGGAAAGGCTCTGGTTCACATTTGAGGACACTGATGGCCAAAGAGGTGCCGTTACCGCTCCAAGGTCTCCCTGTGTGGGAACTGCAGGGCCCCCCTGCGGGAACACTACAGAGGATGCCTGCAGGGGAGGCCCCCCGCCCCCCGACATGGAGCCAGGAAGGGCCAGGGTGCTGAAAGAGGGGCGGGGCCACCCAGGCCAATTTCCTAATTTAGCCAATGTGACAAAGGCGGTCTTCGCATCCCCCTCCACTGCGGCCGTGGGTCCCCACTCTGCCTGCCATCTGACAGCGCTTTGCCGCCATCCCCCAAGGCAGCCGGCCTCCTTGCCCTCCCTTCCCCTCTCCCAGAAAGAAGTTAGTCCTGCTGGCTACACTGAGCCAAGTCAGGAGCCACAGGGTGTGGAGAGAGCTGCGTACACAGCCAAGAGAAGTGAAAACAGTGCTCCCACAGTTGTACACCCTTGTTCTAGCATTATCCACAATAGCCAAGAGGTAGAAACAACCCAAGTGTGCATTAACTGATGAATGGATAAGCACACAAAAAATATTCGGCCAACAAAAGGAATGAAGTACTGCTACATGCTATAACATGGATGGGCCCTGAAATCATGCCATGTGAAATAAGCTAGACACATAAGACCGAGTACTGGATGATTCCATTTATATAAAAATATCCAGAATAGGAAAACTTGTAAGACACAGAAAGCAGATTAGTGGTTACCAGGGGCTTGGGGGAAGGGGATGGGCACAGGGTTTCCTTTTTGGGGTGATGAAAATGTTTTGGACCTAGGTAGTGGTGGCGGCTGCGCAAAACTGTGAATGTGTCCAAGTCACTGATGATAAATTTTATGTTAGGTGTATTTTACCACAATAAAAAAAAATTTTAGAAAGACGCAGACAAGGCAGAGGTGGGCCTCTGAACAGCAGGCTCTCATTTAAGAACTGCTGGCATTACCCCCAGCCCCCTGCCCCACGGCATCGGGGCACAGGCTCCGGGGAGAGCTGTTCACAGCCATCGAGGGAATACAGCATGAATAAGGACCTGATCATTAAGGTCTCTGCCATGCTCATTCTTCTAATGAGTTTCCTTCCAAGTTAAAGCCTTCCCCTCCCTTCCTTAGTCCCGTGGCTTCTCCCGTCCATTTTGTCAGCTCTTTCCCATGGGAACAGCAATGAAAAGCAGGGGTGACACAGGCCCTATGTACCAGGAACAGGGGATGGGGCAGCGGGAGCGGGCCGAGAGGAAGGTGCTTTCCTGGGCTCAGAGACCCTTAGCCTACCCCACAGGATGGCTTGCTGGGCGTTCTGCAATGCTGCCTCTTTCCCCCAGGGAAAGACGGGCTGTCCCCCAGGGTGCCAGGCTCGGGGTCAGTCTCCCTGGGCCCCCTCATCGGGGTCCCCTTGCTGAGTAAGATTCTCCATCCTCAGAGAACCTGGGTTAAACTGGATCTTCTGCCCCCCAAATGGATGCATGTGTGCCTACACACTCACCCTATTTTATCAAGAGGTTTCTAGACCACTTTAGAACCGTAGTCTAATAGGTACTCAAGAAGCGACTGCACTCAGATCCCATTTCTGCCCATCGGTAATGACTCTGACCACTCACCAAATGTCTAAGTGGGCAAGACCTGGGTCAGGGGCTTTACACACTTGTTTTGCATCTTTACAGTAAGCCTGTCACAGAAATGCCATTTTTTTCCATTTTCAAACGAGGAACCTGGGACTCAGAGAATTTAGTAATTTGCCCCGTGTTGCACAGCGAATTAAATAATACAACTGAACTTTAAAATATTAGCTTTGTTCTAGAGACCTCCATCCAGTTACCTAAATCCAGGCTACCCCTCGTCCCTCTCCCCCGAGCTCTCCACACTCAGCTCCATTTCTTCACCTGGACCGGCCGACGTCCTAGCTCCCACCCGAGAGGCGACAGCTCAAGCCTGATTCTCTTGCCAGTCGCCATCTCCAAGAGAGCACACGCCTTCCCAGGAGACGGGCAGAAATATCACCACCCACCTCCAAGCAGTCACATTCCCTGGCTGTGGGCTGACTTCCTTGTCTCCTTATTTAAAACAACACAATCGGAGAAGCTGTCCTTTTAATAATGGTTACCGATTGTCTTAGGGGGGAAAATGAGCAGGCCAGCAAAGGGAAGTCGCTCTGATATTAACAGAAATCCCCCTACAGCAGTGTTTTTCAAAGTGGGATCCCTGGGCTACCCCGTCAGTCACTGGGGATGTGGGTTAAAGTGCAGATTCCAGAGCTCTGATCCAACCACCCAATCAACCTGGCGCCTAGAAAGCCGCCTTTTAACTCGTACTCTAGGTGAGTCTTATGCTCACTGAATCAGAAGAGACCAGTTGGAAGCTTAAGAGGGAGCAACTAAGAGAAAACACTGCTTCTGAAATTAAAACTGGGAACATAAAATTTTAATAAGCACAATTTATAAGGAGACAATGTTTAGCTACACAGCTACTTGGTAATGAAAAGAATCCTGTCTCAAACCCAAATGCTTCAAACAGATTATCTTCAGAGAGATTCAGCCTTCTCCGCGTAGGCTCCGGTCCACGCCAACCCCCACACTCTGCTCCCCACAGCCGCTGCCGTGCTTCCAGCTCAACCCGGGGCTCCTTGCTGCTCAGGAGGTTTCTGGGAGCACCTGATTCTTACCTTCTGCAGGTGTGAGCAGATGTTACTTGCTGATGTTAACGGGTGGTCGTCAGACACTTGATTTAGCAGCCAGATCAGACAGTTTTAAAGCCCCCCGTACTGCGTCTTCTCACACCCCAAACCCAGAAGCAACAGAAGCTCTAAAGAAAAGCATATTCAGCGGGCCCCACACCCCCACTCTCAGATCTATATATAACAGGTCTGAAGTTGTCTGCCTAACAAGCCACTTTCTGGCAGCCCCGTTGCCATGGCAATGACTGCTAATGAGCCCAATGCTGTGATTGGCACTGCCTGAAGGCTCCTCCATAAAGAACTCTCCAGCAAGTTCTCCCTTCCACAACCACAGAGCCACCTGGACGCCCGGAACCAGCCAGGGCACGGCTGAGTGGGCCTGGAAGGAAGGATCGAAGTACCTTCCTCTGCAGATAAGGGGTCAAGAAATGTACCTCCCTGTGACCTCCTTAGCAAAAGTGCTTAAAAGATGTACTCTGACTACCTTAAAAAACAAGGCAAAGATGAAGAAGGAAGGAGCCCAGGTAAAAAGGATGAGGACTGAACAAGGAAGCAGCTCAAAATGTG